CTATAAAAAATTAATGCATACCTAACAAAAATCCACTGTACTTAGAGGACGCTTCAATGATAATTAGATGGAAACATTTCGACTTTCAATGGAAATTTTCCAATAAGTGAAATCATTTATCTTTAGAGAAAGAACAGCAAATTTGGGGTTCTACCTTCTCAACAAAAAATCATAAAAAAAAAAAAAAAGAAAGCTTTGCTTTTAATAGACTTTGCAAGTGCCAAGTCTAGCAACTAAACGTTGTTTTGGGGTCCAAAATGTAAGAAAATATATGGAGCAAAAAAATAACTTTTTTGTACAATGTTTGTTTACCACTTGGACTGAATGACCTAACACATTGGGTTTTACAAATGAAGATTAGTTTTATTATATATAATTGGAATCCAATAGTCCTTGACCATTATTTGGGTTTTGGCTCAACCCGACAATCGTTATGGTAGAGTTGGAAGAGTTTCATCCCAATTTAAGTTGCAAAGTGGATCAAATTTATAGTGCCGTGTATTAACGGATAAATTGCAAATTTAATATTTGTGACTCGTCGGCAAAAATTAGCTGTTTTGTTTAATAGCGCAATTTAGCTATTTGAAATAGCGGTTATAAAAACTTATAAGCGTTAACCTTTTATATGTCTTATTCAATAAGATAAGCTGTTTGATAACATTAACTGTTAGTAGCGTTTAACTGTTAGGTGTTTTTGTATTTTTTTCAATAAAACGCTAAAAGTAAATGTTAAATGAGTTAAACTTTTTTTATAAAATGCCTATCTTAACCGCTAAAAACTAGTTCAAAAAGTAACGTTAGCGGTTTTCCACCAGTAAAAAAAGCTAGAAGCTACTTGCTGAATAAAGTATATATTTTATAGTTTTTTAATATAGTTTTATTAGGAATTTAGTAGTTTTAAATTACTTTAATATGTTTTTTATTTAGTTTTTATTTATGTTTTTGTTTCAAGCTTCCTTGAAACATAATTGCTTGATCTTAAGGAAATTTGTAGAATTTTGGCACAGAAAAGAGTAAAATAAAGAAAAATCGCAAAGCTTCTGCACGCGTTGGTCCCCCAGTCGTACTCAGCATGCCCTAGCGTGCTATCTGGCAAACGCCTGTGCGCAAGAGAACACAATCTAAAGGCATGCTTAACTGACACGGGCCCTATGCTCACGCCCAAGACCGTGCTATCGAGGCAACGCTCGTGCAACAATCCTCTCTAGACGTGCCCATGAAGCACGGCGCCGTGTTGGAACCATCCCTTAGAACTTAGGCTCCAGCATGCCCCAGACCGTGCCGCAACAGTAGCCCGGCTGAAAATCAAGTTTTATTTTGGAGTTGAGAACGCCTAGTTGGTCCCTACCACTTGCATTGGCCCGCATAAGAATGAATTACCTGACGAGCAAATCAATTTTCTAAGCCTATTTAGGCGCATGGGAAGTCCTAATTGAGAAGAAATTCAAGCCTAAACAATTTCTATTTCCAAAAGATTTCTTACGTAATATCAAAGACTCTATTTCCTAAAAGTGAAGTCGGATTTTCTCCCAGAAAGTTCTATATAAGAGAAGAACTCATTCATTTGTAAATATACCTTCTCTGGTTGCTAGCCATCTTTTGTTCTATTATTTTCCTCTCTCTCTCCTTCCAAGACTTCCAAGCATTCAAGATTTGTGTCAAGATTCAAGGAAGCCGTCCACGTATTTGTTGAATTAGTTTTAATCTCTAAAAACTCTTAATCTTGGTTTTTTTACTTTTCATTACTCACATTTTTGATTATGAAAATTATTTTCCAAGTTTATGGATTTATTTAATTACTATGTCAACTAAACTCTCATTACTAGGGATTTTATGTAGCTTTATTTCTTTTTCAAATTTATAATATTAGATTTGTTTTTCTTTGTTCCAAAGTATAATTTATTAATTGAACCTTAATGCTTCCAGGCAAAGAGTTTCTCCCTGGATTGATTTATTTAAATTAACTACTACCACCGGAGAAGGGTATTTTGATATGAAAAAAGTAATAAATTACATGACCAATAATAACTTGATGTGGAACTATAATGGTTTGGACTCATGGTGAGTTTTCAATAAAGTTAGTGACCTTAGGTTATGAATTTTCACAAAACCAAAACATAAAAACTTAATGAATTTAATTCATGTTTGATTGCGCTTATTGGAAGATAGGTAATTAGACCGGTTAAAAATCGCTACGATACATCAGAAGAGCTGTAGTGATTTAGGGTTGTTTCCCCTACTTGAACAATTAAAATTAATTAACGAACTAATAAAATAAATTGATAAAATTAAGTGAAGTAAAATCCTAATAACTTTTAACCTTGATTTTCTTTAATCAAAATTTATTTGCTTGATTTCTTCTATTCCTTTTATTTGTTTGAATTTAATTCTTAAAATAACTCCCCTTAATTGTTGTTTAAAATAATAGTAGGTTAACATAATTTTGGTACTTGGTATAGAACCAATCCTTATGGGAACGATACTCTACTCATTTTTTATTAACTTGTTGCGATTTCGTAATACTTGCAAAAAAACAATTGTCACTTGCGAACATAGCTTATATAACCTATTGCCGAATATAGCCTAATAAAAGCTACTTATCCCTAAAAAGATACCTTACCCTCTAAACGCATTGCTATCAAACATGTAAAATAGCGTTTTAACTCCATCAAAATACTAAAAGCCTACTTAAAAAATAGTTGTCAAACACAACATAATATTCATATCAATGTATGTATGTTTATTTTCCACTAAATTTCAACCAACATATACAATACTAAGAGTATAAAATAGCAATGTTGTTTAACCTTTAACCTTGTCCCGAAATGACGAGCTTCCGTAACACTTGATGTTTTTTCTCTAAAATGCATCATCTTCTACCTCTTGGTGCTGCAGCGTGAGCCTTTCAAGCTCTCTCCAACAGAGGGAATGAGACAGATTATCTTGCCTTGATACAGTTCAAGTCAATATTGTGCATGACCCTCAAAATCTGATGAGCTCATGGAACGAGTCACTCCATTTCCCTGCAACTGGGAAGGAATCACATGCGGCCGGCAAACACAGAAGAGTGACCATCTTGATCTTCAATCTAAAGGGTTTAGGTGGGCTCTTTGTCTCCTACATAGGAAACATGAGTTTCCTTATAGGAGATTAATCCTTCTAAACAACACACTTTGAAGGTGAATCCAACCGAACTAGGCTATTTGTTTCAGGCTACAGTTTTAAAAGTGTGGCAACAACTCTTTCGATAGGTAAAATCCCACCTGGACTTGTCGCAATTGCTCTAATCTTCTCCATCTTCAGTTATCCTGCAACAAACTAGCAGGAAATATTCCATCTCAGCTTTCCAATCTGTCTAAGCTTATTAAACTTTTTAGTTTTTCTTTAATTCTTTGAACGGTCCCATCCAACTTCCATTGGGAATCTTACACTATGGCTTGTCCTAGCTGCAATACCGATAATTTCTTGGTTGGAACTATACCTGATACCACTTGGTCCAACTCCAAGCACTTACATTGGCTCTCAATTCATGACAATAAACTCTCAAGCGTACAATACCTCAGTCCATTTAACAATATTTCAACCCATCAATCACTTTTCCTGTGTCTGAAAATCACTTTCATTGGAAGTCTTCCACAAAAATTGGCATTCTTCCTCCTCCCTCAAACCAGACTTTTCAAATATGGGGACCAATTTATGGGTCAATTCTGTTTCGTTATCAAATGCTTACGGAACTTTTACGCATGGATTAGCAAAATAATAACTTCACTGGAAAAAGTAGATGTCCGCTTGGAGGACTACGTAAACTTTATAAGTTTAACCTTGGCTGAAAATAATCTTGGAACCAGAGAAGGGATGATTTGAAATTTATCACTTTCCTCTGGTCAAATTGTAGCCTATTTGAGAACTTTTGGATTTCTCTGGGTAATAGGCTAAAGGGAAGTTTTTCCGACTTAAAAAAGCTAATCTATCTTCATCTCTCAATGGCTACAGTTGGGCACAATCAAATATATGGGGCCCTTCTCGATGGTTCCTTTAGCTCACTTGTTATGCTTACAACAATGAGTAGTAACAAGTTAACCAAAAATTACAGGTGCTATTCCAATGGAGATTGGTAACCTTGAAAAATTACGAGTGCTAATATCTTGAATCGCAAGTAGATTTATCAGGACCCAAATTCCAATTCATCATAGGCAATCTAATCGTTTTTTGATTCAAGCTTGGACTGGCTGATAATAATTTTCGTACTTCCACTCCCCTTTGGTCTTGATTGGCATAACATGTTATCTTTGGATTCTTTTTCAGAAGCAACATTATCGGTTCCATCTAAACAACTTTTTTCTATCCTTCCATGTTAGTTGGTATAGATTTATCTCTAAACAATTTATGAAGAACACTTCCTTCAGAAATTGGCAGTTTACTTATCTTCAGTTTAAATGAATTTATGCATCAGAAAGCAAAACTGACAAGGCAAAAATCCAAAATGAACTAGGTAAGTGCAACAGCCTTGAGAATCCTATTTATGGTGGTATAAATTTTCAAGGTACATTAACCTTCAATCATTTGCTTCTTTGAGAGGGTCTACGATTGGACTTGTCTGGAAACAATTTATCAGGGCAAAATTCCTGAATATCTAGAGAAAATTTCATTGGAAATATCTAAATTTGGTCTTTTACACAATTTTGAAGGGTGAGATTCCAATCAAGGGTTTTTGCCAATGCAAAGTGCAATATTTGTCGAAGGTAACAACAGCTATGTGGAGGCATACAGAACTCAAGCCTGCCCAGCATGCATAAATCATCAAGATCAAGAGAAGAAAACTAGATGTTGTCCAAATTTGTGACAATTGCAATAATCAGGTGTCTTTTTTGCGTGATCATCTTGTCAATCTTCTTATGTTGCAAATTTAAGAAGGAGTCCCCACACAAGAGATCTCCGAACAACATGCTAGCAAAGCATTTGAAGAGTCTTTCAATATGACAGGCTTCTAAAGGCAACTAATGGGTTCCTCTTCAGAAGAACTTAACTTGGTATGGGAAGTTTGGTATGTCTAATAAAGGAAATGCTTGAGGAGAATGGAGGCAGGAGAATGGAGGATTCATTGCAGTAAAAGTAGTCAACCTTCAACAACGGGGTGCTGGAAAGAGTTTCATGGCTGAATGCAAAGTCTTGCAAAATATACGTTACAGAAATCTTGTGCGAATCATAACATCTTGCTCAAGTATCGATTTTCAAGGAAATGATTTTAAAGCACTTGTTTACGAGTACATGCCGCATGGGAACCTTGAAAAGTGGCTGCATCTGGGTTCTGAAATGCACAATCAGCCAATTAAGCAACTAAGACTAAACATCCTTCAAAGAATGAATATTTCTATAGATGTGGGGAATGCACTAGATTATCTTCATCGCGGTTGCCACGAGCCAATCTTTCATTGTGATCTAAAGCCAAGCAACATCCTTTTTGACAATGATATGGTTGCTCATATTGGAGATTTTGGTCTAGCAAAATTTCTCCCTCAACTGATGAATCCAGTTCAAAGTAGTTCTCTTGGTGTAAGAGGAACAATTCGCTATACCGCTCCAGGTGATTAATACTCTCTTAATACTCTCCTATTTGATAAATACAGAGTTTATATTTACTTATTCACTGTCGGAATTGTTTTCTTACTTTCTTCTTTTTTGAATTTTGTAAATATTTTAGAATATGGTTTAGGAAGTGAGCTGTCAACAAGTGGAGATGTTTATAGCTATGGAATCCTTTTGTTGGAGATGATGACAGGAAAAAAACCTACTGATGGGAGATGATGACAGGAAAAAAACCTACTGATGGTATTTTTGCAGAAGGTCTTAACCTTCACAATTTTGCTAGAATGGCATTGCCTGATAATGTGTTGCAGATTGCAGACCCAATTCTCTTACAAGAAGATGAAGGTGTAAGAGAACATAAAGTTGAATGCGTAATTGGCATGATTAAGGTTGGGGTTTCATGTTCTATGGAGTCTCCTCAGGATAGAATGGACATGAGTAATGCAGTAAAGGAGTTGCTTTCAGTTAGAAATAACTATGTGCGAATTAGAAGAACAGGACCATCCATGTATACAAGTAAGTAATTATTTTTTCCAATTTATATTTACTTTTAATTTGCAGGTGCTTGTTTTCCCAAAATGTTTTGTGAAGAAAACAATAAAATCACTTCTGAATATGGAAGCAGGGGAGAATTTGTTTATCCAAATTGTCCAAATTGTTCTATGAGAAACTACTAATAGGACTATGGTTTTGGAAAGTCAACTATCTGTTTATAAAAATTGAAAGTCTACTGACTAAATATCATGTATTTACTTTCTTTTTTTCAATAATTAACTTCAATAATTAACTTATTCTAGGACCACGAAGCTGAAATTTGATGGAGGGAAAACAGTTAAGGAGTGATATTTATCAGAATCGTTAGTCCAATTTGAACTTTGCAAACAGCGAGAGGCCTCTGTAAACTGAGCAGGACCATTACAGGAATTATGTAGGAAACCAGGAAGCCATGTTTCTGTATTCTGCCTCTACAGAAGGACTGTTTCTTAAATTTCTAGGAACTGTTACATCTCCAAAAAAAATGGACAATCCAGTTAAAGATTTGCGTGTAAATGAACAAGACGCCCAATTTGCGTTGCAAAAGACTTGTAGCTGCATAGAGTTGTCAGGTTGATTCTGTTCTTGCTGCATAATATTCTGTTCTTGCTGCATAATTTGACAAAAGTAAAAAGAACAAAATTTGAGAATGTAAAAGTTACTGCACTTGGTCACTTCCTGCTCTGTCGGGTCTTTTGATCTTATCAGTTCCACTCGGGCATACTCTTTCATAGGCTCGACACGGGTTGTGACTGTTGAAATTTTTTTGGAAGGAAGGATGGAAATGCACAAGACCATTAACAATGTTTAGCACTTCATTGAATTAACAAAAGAATATGCTTATTTATAGGCTTACAAGTGAATCAAATAAGACTTAAAAATACTTCTAAAAATCATTAATCTTAATAATAAAAATATCAAATTCTATGCAGAAAATCTGCACTAAATAAAATTTTGAAATCTCAAAATATTTTAATAATATTATGGTTTGAATAATATTATGTTTGAATTAATTAGGATTAATTCAAAATAATATTATTAAAAAATATTTTTAATAATATTATTTTGAATTAATCCTAACAGTAAGGTCGGGTCCTTTAATATTTTTCGACCATTTCTAATACATTTCAGAAGAAAATCAACATTATTGGACTTGAATTTCAAGTGGGAACACATGAAAATTCAATTAATAACATAGAACTATGTTGGACACGTGACACGACACAAAAGACAATCATCATGGTTGAATTGGAGTGCATGGTGACGAAATTCTAGTGCCGTGATCCAACTGCTAAGACATTTAATCTAACTATGAAGAAATGCAAACGTCCTAAGATATGTTTCTCATTTTGGCTTAGAATGTAGAAATAAAGGAACATGAGGAGGTGTTTTCTTCTTGTTTCGAAAGCTACCAAATGGGAAAAAACAAAGACACTGACGGTTGACTTAAAGACTTCAAGGGATAAAAGGTTAGAATTCTAATGTTGTCTAATCAACAGACTTTTGAATTTTCCTCAAACTACATATAAATGCCAACTTAAAACATAGACTAGAGAAGGAAAAAAAAAAAAAGAATCAGCTAACCTTGTTCCTAAACGATGAGCTTCAGTACACCCTTGCTTTTCTTTCAAATGCATTATTTCTACCTCTTTGTGCTGCAGCTGAGCCTCCAAACTCTCTCCATCGGAGGGAATGAGACAGATTATCTTGCCTTGTCACAATTCAAGTCAAATATTGTGCATGACCCTCAAAATCTGTTGAGCTCATGGAATGATTCAGTCCTTTCTGCAACTGGGAAGGGATCAAGATGCGGCCGCAAACACAAAGGAAGGGATCAGATGCGGCCGCAAACACAAAAGAGTGATCATTCTTGATGTTCAGTCAAAAGGGTTAGTGGGTTCTTTGTCTCCTTACATAGGAAACATGAGTTTCCTTAGGGAGATTAGCCTTCAAAACAACACCTTTCGAAGCCAAATCCCACCTGAACTGGGCCGTTTGTTCAGGCTTCAAGTTCTAAATCTAGAAAACAACTCTTTCCAGGGCCAAATTCCATCCAACTTGTCCTTGTGCTCCAGTCTGAAGATCCTCTACTTATCGTACAACAAGCTAATAGGAAAGATTCCATTTCAGCTTTCAAATTTGTCTAAGCTTATTCAACTTTATGTTCCTGATAATTATTTGAATGGACCAATTCCACCTTCCATTGGCAATCTTACCTTCCTGAAATCCTTATCTGCACGAGAAAATTTCTTGATTGGAACTATTCCTGACACTCTTGGCAAACTCAAGCAATTGTCAAAGTTTCAAATTGCTACAAATAAACTCTCAGGTATAATTCCTCAGGCCATTTATAATATTTCAACCATCACTTATTTTTCTGTCTCCGAGAATCAATTTCATGGAAGTATTCCATCAAATATTGGCCTTCTCTTTCCTGAACTTCAGTTAATACGAATATGGGGAAACAATTTTAGTGGTTCAATTCCTGTCTCCTTATCAAATGCTACGAAACTTGAGTACATCGTTTTAGCACTAAATGACTTCACTGGAAAAGTAGATGTTCACTTTGGAGCTGGAAAAGTAGATTGTTCACTTTGGAGGTCTACACGACTTATTTATTTAGCATTGGCTTGAAAATTAATCTTGGAACAAAAATGGCAAATTGATTTTGAATTTCATTGTTATCCTTTGCTCAAACTGTAGCTATTTGCAGATTCTTTGGATTTTTCTGATAATTAATTGCTGAAAGGGAGTTTGCCGAATTCCGAAAAGCTATCTATCTTCATCACTTCAAATGGCTATCAATTTGGCCAAAATTCAAATATTATGGAGCCTTCCTCCAATGCGTTTTTTACTCTTGTAGTTTGACAACAATGAGTATACAAAATGTTAAAACCAATTACAGGCACTATTCCGAGGAGGATTGGAACCTTTTGAAAAATTACAAACAGCTAATTCTTACAATAAAGATTGTCAGGAATCTATTCCCTCGTCATAGGGCAATCTATCATCATTTGGATTTTTGCTTTCAATTGGATGATAACCAATTTCCATAGTACCTTACCTTCTAGTCTTGGAAAATTGCAGGCCCGTAACATGTGTTCTTGGGGATCTTTCCTAGAAAAGCAAACTTCATTGGTTCCATTCCTAAACAGCTTTTTTCTAATCCCTTTACCATGCTAGTTTCAATAAATTTATCTCTAAAACAACTTCGAAGGAACCCCACTTTCCCAATCTCTAAACAACTTCGAAGGAACACTTCCATCAGAAATTGGCAATTTATTCAATTTGAATGAATTGTATGCTTCAGAAAACAGCTTGACAGGCAAAATTCCAAATGAACTAGGTAAGTGCAACGGCCTTGAGATCCTATTTATGAATGGTAATAATTTTCAAGGTACATTACCTTCATCATTTGCTTCTTTGAGAGGTCTTCTAATCTTGGACCGGTCTCGAAACAATTTATAAGGCAAACTTCCTGAATATCTAGAGAAATTATCATTGGAATATCTGAATTTGTCTTCTAACAATTTTGAGGGTAAGATTCCAATCAAAGGTGTTTTTGCCAATGCAAGTGCAATATTTGTGCAATATTTGTTGAAGGTAACAACTGGTTATGTGGAGGCATACCAGAACTCAAGCTACCAAGATGTTTAAATCATCAAAAATCAAAAAGAAGAAAACTAGATGTTGTCAAATTTGTTACAATTGCAGCATCAGGTGTTTTAACCATCATGGTAATCTTCTTATATTGTAAATTTAAGAAGAAGACCAACAAAGAGAGACCTCCTAACAACATGCTAATAAAAGAATTTCTGAATCTTTCATATGTCAAGATTCTAAAAGCAACTAATGGGTTCTCTCCAGAGAACTTACTTGGTGTTAGAAGCTTTGGCGCTGTTTATAAAGGAAATCTTGACGAGAATGGAACATTGATGGCAGTAAAAGTAGTCAACCTTGAACAACAAGGTGCTGCAAAGAGTTTTATGTGCTGAATGTAAGAGTCTTGCAAAAACATACCGTCATAGGAAATCTCGTGCGAATCATAACTTTCTTGCTCGAGTATCGATTTCCAAGGAATGATTTGTTAAAGCACTTGGTTTATGAGTATATGCCGAATGGAAACCTTGAGAATGGCCGAATGGAAACCTTGAGAAGTGGTTGCATCCAAGTCCAGAAATGTATGCTCAGCCAATGGAACAACCAAATCTAAATCTTCCTCAAAGAATGAATATTGCCATAGATGTAGGGAATGCACTAGATTATCTTCACTGCGGTTGCCAGGAGCCGATCATTCATTGTGATCTAAAGCCAAGCAACATTCTTCTTGACAATGACATGGTTGCTCACATTGGAGATTTCGGTCTAGCAAAATTTATCCCTCAGCTAATGAATTCAGTTGAGAGTAGCTCTCTCGGTGTAAGAGGAACAATCGGTTACACGGCTCCAGGTGATTATGACCCTTCCATTTGATATACACAGAATTTGTATTTATATATTTTCAGTCAAAATTGTTTTCTTACCTTTTTTTAAAAAAAGTTTCAATTTTTCAGAATATGGTTTAGGAAGTGAGCCGTCAACAAGTGGAGATGTTTATAGCTATGGGATCCTTTTATTGGAGATGGTGACAGGAAAGAAACCGACTGATGATATTTTTCAAGAGGGTCTTAACCTTCACAGTTTTGCTAGAATCTAGAATGGCATTACCTGGATTAATGTGTTGGAGATTTGGGCAGACCCAGTTCTCTTACAGGAAGATGAAGGTGCTTACAGGAAGATGAAGGTGTAACGGAAGGGAGGAAAGTTGAATGCCTAATTGGCATGATTAAGGTTGGGGTTTCATGTTCCATGGAGT